TGCTGAACCCATCCTTTGCAAGCAATGGGAAGCACAAGAGGAAGAAATGGTGGCAAATCGGCCCAAGCAGCGTGGAAGCCCAGGTTCCTGTGCAGTGACACACGGGTTTGCTCACCCCAGAGCTAGACCCGGACTGGTGATGTTTCCTCCTGCTCCTTACTGAAAGGGGCCACCTCTCCCTCTCCCCTTGCACACCTCATTTGCAGGCAAAGGCACTTCCTTCAGCAGGCGGATGCCACACGCTGCTTTGTGCTGCCTCCCGCTGCCCTGGGCCTTTCAGCTACCCACCCCCCCTGGCACCCTTAGGGAAGCTTGAAAGGGCACCCTCCCAGCATGTTTTCCCCAAATGTGGCAGCTGGGATAGAAAAATATTTTTAGTGACTTATCCCTTGGCTCTGAATAAGCCTTTCTTTTTCTTCCCTCTACCACCCTCCCTAAAGTTTGGGAGCTACAAACGCAAATATTTATTCAAAATAAAAACTATAATACTAAAAGCACATCCAACTGACATTAAGGGCAGCACAGCATTACAGCTGGGTACAGTTAACACAGAGGTCTGAAAAAACCCTACACCTCAAGCCTAGCCTCCAAACCACCAAAGATTAGAGTTGTTTTTAGAAGCAGCTTGGGTTTTAAGCTTTAAGGATTGCATTTCAGACTCTCAATAGCTTCACTTCAATCACAGATTTAATCAGGTGAGCAGAGCTGGTTAACAGCCTGCTGCAGCATAAACATTCGCTCTTTCAGGAGTGTGTGGGAGCAAGGATGGAGGCAAGTTTCTCTGTTCAGCCTCTTCAGTTTCATACTAGACATAGCCTATAGAAACCAGGGTGTAGTGTTTTTTCCAGATGAAGCTTTTCAGTCCCTGGCTCAGCCAGGGAGCAAATTTCTAGCACACGATGTTTCTAGATTACCTGCTCATAACAAGGGGGGAAAAAATGAGCAGAAGATCCTTTCAGTGGTTAAAGGTTTTAAGTACCTGAAAACACCACTTCATTGTTCTTCAATGGGAAATACCTTGTTTGCTTAGGGGAAAACCATCTGTTTCTGACAGGGAGTTACACTGGAGTTCATCTATTCACAACCGAGTGGCTAGAACTATGCTACATTCCAAATCCAGTTCAAACTTACCCAAATCAGCTATGGGAAAGGGGAGAAGGCAAGGGAGGCAGCGAGAACAGCAGTGGGAAGAAAGGTTGTGAGCAATCACAAGTTTAAGAAAACAAAGGGAAAAAAGAGCTGCTTAACGAGCTACATGAAACAGAACATGTTACAAACATGTTCCCTCTCACACTGCCTCAAATTGTCCCCCCAGAATGTGCCCCAGTTCACCGGCTGGCAATTGAATCACCCCATTCACACCCTGCATCAAGCACCAGCTACTCTCCGACCAACGCAGACGCAGGCAGCTCTGCCTTCGCACTTGCTCAAACTCAGCCTTTGCTTTCTTAAATGCCAACTTACTAAACATCCCCTCTCCCAGGATTTGCACACTTCCCTGTTTAACTCTCACACCAAGCTCCCTCACCCTCTCTTGTTGTTACATGTTTGCTTACCTTGTCTACTTTATGGAATCTACTGTAGACCAACTTCAGGGGTGCAGCAAACCCTTAGCAGTGGCTTTCTGAATGGGGAAAAAAAATACAGCAATAGGGATGCCCATAATAACAACCCATTCCCTAGGGTCTGGGGCTTGGAATATGCCCTGGAGCCATGTGCATCCAATTATGGGTAGTAAAGGGTTTTTAGTGGGGAACTAAAGCTTGCTGAGCTACTCAAGTTGTCTTCCACAACACATTTTCTCCAAAGCCTGGAAAGCAGTATCAGCTACCCCAGTCAAGCATGCTTAACTGTTTCAGCCCAAAATTGCCCTTTTTTTCCCCTCTGAAGGTACCGATTCAGAAACACAAGCTTGGCATTTACAAGGCACTCTATCTAATCACACTGCAAACGATTTTAAAACAGAGATTAAAAAAAACCCAAACCCCTAGTTCTGCACTTAAAAATAACTTCCAGGGCAGTGCAGTTAAAACAGCATAGTTAAGACACAGCTTGTTTTTGTGGCTTGTCTGCACTGAATGTTGTCTGCCTTCATCAGAACCTAAGTCTGACTTTCTGTGAGCACAGATGTTTCTCTTAAGGCTGGACACTGGCATTTGTGTTGCTGAAAGGGGAGAGAGAATAGCCTGACCCTAATGGTCTTCCTCCTACAGATACTTACACATCCACCTTAGATTTCCTATAACCTCTCCCACGTTAAGTGTTGGCAAAGAATATATAAATATTTACTGAGGTTGATTCATCTGAGAACACCCTTGCTGCTCCCAAGGTGCCAGTTTACCAAATTCCACACAGTAATTAATTGCTTCTGTGGTCCGAAATAGCTTTGACAGAGGTCTCCAAGGCCAGCCCCTTCTCCCTTCTTCTCGGTGTTTGACTTTGGTGATTTGTCTGGATAAAGCTGGTGTAAACTGATCACACAGTTAATAACAGCTCACTTCACATGAAAGTGATCTGCTTGGGTGGGAAGAAGGGGAGATGTCAGGCTGACGCGGACCCACATGTGAAGGCACATGCAGAAATGCTGGCCACACCACTGCAGTCTGCATCCAAGTGCTCTCTACCAAAGGGAGATTGGGTGTGAGATAAGAGTCTTTATTAACAAGTCCATTGCCACCATGAAAGCATCTGGCCTTATTTGCCTCTAGTGTTTGTGCACCCTGCCCTTTGTGGTATTTAGCTCCTGTAGTGTGGGGAAATCTGCCTGGCGCCGTGCATGTCTTGCTGGAAGGAAAGGCTGCTTGGAGGGTTCCTCCATTTCTCATGGAGCACCTCAAACCAGTCCCAGAGATCCCAGGTGGCTGAAGAGAAGGACACAAAAAGGAATGTTTGCATGAGTTTCACTCAGAACAGAAAGTGCAGCCTGAAGTCAGACATTTAAATGCAACTGTCTCTGTAAGGAGGAGCTGATGGGAAGGGTTGTGCCTGAAGGCTGACTTGCAAGACAGAAAGGTTATCACCTCTGGGCAAGGAGAGAGCCTGAATGACAACCAGCATTCAGATCATATGGTGGCAAAGCTCTTATGCTGGAGGACCACCATCTGTTATATTGATGAAGGTCCCCATCTCTTCCTAGGTTAACTAGAGGGCCAGCCTGGAGTCTGAGAGCATGAGCTAAGCCCACAAGAAGACACGGCTGAGCGAGGGCCTCCAGACCTTGCAGACAATACGAGAGACACACCTGCATGCTCCCCCACCCACCTTGTTCCTCTATGTTTTGTGTCAGAGCAGGAGTACAATTCTCTGTCTCAACAGATTAAAATACTTCCCTTTCCTCCTGCTCATCCTCCTACTGCTGAAGAACAGATCTTGGTTCCAGGAATGTATTGACGCAGGACTCTATGTCAAAGCAGTTTATAACCATGGGGGTAACTCAGTTCTGCTTTATATAAGTCAGTCATAATTATGTGTTTGCAATTAATTCAGGGAAATGAGCATTCTTGGCGAAAAAATACAGACCATTGGGATTCTTATGCCACAGCCATAACCTTAGCATCTGAGCCCTTGGTACTGACTGCAGGACAACTGTACATCTAAGGGAGCACAGCAGGGTCCCAATCCTGCATGCAGCAGCATGTCTTCATATAACCCCAAGTCTCACCAGATCCAGTACCAGCCCAGCACCACACTTCATGCACTCCGAACAGCAGGACTTGAAATGCTTTCCATATTTAGGTAGTAAACGGTTGGGGTTAAAATGTAATGCCCCAGCACAACTCCTAGACTCACATCCTGGGATGAAGACTTTCCCAGCCCTGTCATGCATCATCATCATCAGGGCACAGACGTAGGAACCCACACAACTGAAAAATAAAAATAAATCCCAATGATCCCTTTAATGCTAAAAATCCATATTGATCATCAGTGCCTCCAGGGCTATTAAATCTACCACTTCTTAAGGAAAATAGAGTCTAAGAGTGTCACACTTAGACAGGAAAATAAGCTGATGCCGTCTCTCTTTTCTAAACACAGAAACCAACCAAACATACATGTTAAATCCACAGAGGCTCAACTATACCTTGTTGACTACTGAACTGCCAAATTCCAGGTTTTAAATTAAAGCTGGCTCAGAGCTAGAAGAGCTCAAAAAAGCCCTTGAGACCACAGAATGACTAGTTATTTTTTCTCTTTTTGTCATTTTATAATTTTACGACCTGATGTGTGGTGCAGTCAAGAAAGCAGCAATGTAAAAATGGCCCTTTTTGCCCAATATATCTGCTCCCTCTGGAGCTTTGAGTCACACTGCCTGATTTAATAGTAGTGATTTTTTTTTTTTTTTAGCACTGTGGATCTTGCAGAGCTAAGGAGAGAAAGTTGGAGCCTATCCTGACTCTGCTACCAGAGCCACAAAACAGCAACGCAGCAAGTAACTTTCCAACATTCCCTGTAAATGCATTCAAAACTTGGCTGTGGTGACAAAGCAAGCACAGCATCCAAGCCTACCTGAGTGGGAGAACTGCACATTGCCTGGATAAGAGCTGGGCTTATTGCTTATAACACCCAGATGAATAAACTATCTATTGGCAAGCCCATTACTTGTGAAAGTAACCCAGCAAGCTGCTGTGATGCCCACCTTTAAAACTGCAGCTTGGAGACCCCAAGGAAAACCAAGACCAAAGGAGGTTTCAGCAATTGGGACCAACAGATGGTTCCACCACGGAGCTGACAGAGGGCTCTTGCACCAGATTAGATAATAACTCCTCCAGCAATGCCGCACTGCTACTGGCCAGCCTCCCTGGAGGAGGCCAGGCTGCAGGACTGAGTAACTCCTACTACCTTTAAAACCCAGAAAGTGACACTTCACACCCAAATGAGCCCAACACTTGCACGGCATGGCACGGCCACCCACAGCCATGTTGTGGCGTGCACCATAAGGACATGAAACAGCTGCTAGTGGCCAACTGCTGCTGGCATGCACTAGCCCAAAGGGCAAGTCCATCCCCATGGAGGGCTGGAACAATAGGGCTGCATCGATACATGGCCACCAGCCCTAGAGGGGCTCCCAACCTGGTTCTGGCTTCCTACAGGCTTCCAGCTCCATGGCCAGCACTGGGCCACCTCGAGTGCAGCGTGGCTCACCCACAACCCAAGTATGCAAGAGCAAGGGACAGGCTACAGATTCACACTGGCTGACTTTGGGCAATGCTGGCACATCCCCCCATGTGTCTGGGCATAGACTGAAAACTACGTGTCTCTTCCTTGGGGTATAGTCATTTCTAGCCATGGGAAAAGCAGGGATCCTATTGGAAATGAAGGGGGCAGCATAAGCAAATTAATCAAGTAACTTGGAACAGGCTGAAATGTTTGAGAGGCAAGAAGGTACACAATGAACAAAGGACGTGTAGCACTGTGATGCAGGGCAGAGTGGCTGGAAAACAAAAAGGACTTAGAAGACAGGACATAGTCAATTATTTTGTTAAAACTTCAGAGTTATCCTATGGTCCCACCAGTCCACAAGAGCACTCAAAAGGCTCCTGCACAATGCTTGCAACACGCAACCTTCCCACAGTAAACAGGCAAGCTTCTTTGCTTGCCTGGAAATGCACTTCACTGTATATAGATAGTTGTTCTTATAAAAAACAACAACAACAAACAAACAAAAAAACCCCAACCAAACAAAAAAGGCTCTCGTGCTGTTCTACCAGGGTTTTTCCAAAGAAAACTGAAAGAGGACTCTGCTGGAAATGAGTATGTGCAATACCATAAATCTCAATGTACGCAGAGATGGAATCTTTTAAACACTGCATTTCAAGTGGAGCAATTCTAGGGAAACACTGTGTAGCAAGCACAAAATTTAGAATTAAACACCTCACCCCCCTGAATTCAATGGCTGTGACTTTCCACAGGGGAAAGTCTCACCATTCAAGAGGAATCCTGTAAAGTCTCATTATGTGAGACTCCCTCTCCCAACCCCTGTGCAGGTGTAACTTGTTCCCCAAGGAAGACTATCACACTTTACATCCCCCTTCTTGTTTTCACACTCCAAAAGGAGCAAAAAGAAACATTCCAAGAAGTCACTCCAGCTTTCAGACAAAGTAGGTGTTGCTTGATTACCTGTGACACTAGACACCCTGGAAACATCCTGAGCCTGGGTGGAGCGGTTCCGATTCTGTTGCCTGCGCCTGCTCGTCGCTGACCTCGTGGTCCGAACGTGAACTTCACTCACTTTGAAGAAGGCCACCATGAAAGGCTGTTTGTCATAAGGGCCATCTCGGCCTATCAAGCCTGCTTCTCTAGGATTTACACTGAAACCTTGAAAACAAATGTAACAGTGAATGATAAAGAAACAGTACTGTTGGATTGCTTGCAGAATCACAGCATCCCGATGAGCAGCGTCTCCATTCTTCTTGCCCACACTCCTTTTTTCACTAAGTGCTTCCCTCCTGCCACTTTGTCTTATGGACATTTCTACAACAGCATTCCATCTTCCTGGATGGAGGCTTCACTGAAACACCTGGCTCTTTGGTACCACTATGACATCTCTATTCTGGTTTAGGCATTGAAGAACTACACAAATAGATATGTAAACCACAAAGCTCAGATGTGTCATGAAATTAGTTCTGCTACCTGTGAAACACAAGAAGCAGAGACGGCATTAGAAGACCTCTAGGGAAAGCAGCAGGCAAAGAGATTTCTCTGTGAGAGATGGGCTCTCAAATCATTTGGGGAGGGGGTGGCTTGCACCAACATTTCCCCAGGGAGAACAGTGGACAGCCCATCTGGTCTCACTTGACCCCACAGGTGTACCAAACCCCAGCATGAAGTGATAGGAAGAAAACAATAGGTTTGAGGGGTTCCTACAGAGGAAAAAATGTCACTGTCATAATTTTGGTCACCTTCCGCTCATCTAGATCCTCTTCTTCCCTACCACTTATCTTCCAATACTCAGTTTCATGCTCTTTTACAGTCTCCTCTCTCCTTTGCCACTTCTGAAGTTTCTGTGGGCTGTGAAATGCTACCATTGCAGCTGCCCCTGGAGGGCCCAGCCTCACACAGCGACCCCATCGCTTCTGCAGTCCAGGACTCCAGCCTCAGGTTTTATGAGATCTGAGTGGTGATGGCAGCTGCAGCAGCCAGTAGGACTATCATAAACCCACATGGGAAGGTGCATACCCATATACCTGCCCTCTTTTCCTCTTCCCACTGCGCTTGGCATCCCAGGTCCATGCCCCTTTCTACCTTGAAGTCAGGAACCAGGACCCTGCCCCAGCTCACCTCTACCACTTTATCCTGGTACTGTTCAGAGATGCCTAGCCTCATTTATGGGGAAAGACACATCTGTCATGGGACAGCCAAGAAGCTGACAGCCCTCAGTCTCTGCCCTCAGATGCCTTCTTCAAGAAGCTTGCTACAGCTGCCTATGAAGCCAGGGTGATCCATCCTCACATCACAACTGGAGAGCGTCAGCAACACTTCTAGACAGCATCCAAGAGGCTTGCGAGATTGCCAGCATTAACTGGCCTATAACATACCGTCCCGGGTCACCACGCTCAGCTGCAGTCCCATGTTGTGCTGAGGGTTCATCACCCACATGTTACTGGTGGCAGTGACATCAAACTCCAGCCAGCCCTCCTCTGAGGCCCACACTGCCCGCGTGTCCAGCAGGAACAGGTCAGAGGCCCTGTGGGGGAGAAGCATAATGACAAGATTGTGATGCCTGAGATTTTCTCCCTTTGCTTTCACTGTTACAGGAACAAGAAAACATGAAGTAAGTAAAAGTGATGTTAATCACTAGGAAAAAAAAGCAAAACAATCCCCAAAACCTGCCTGTTTTTAATCCAGAGTTTTGCCATGAGATGCACATACTTGTGAAAGTCAGGATTGCTAAGATTTTTCAGTTTCCAAGGCTGGAGGGAAGCAATCTTAGTCCTTAGGTCTGGTTGTTTTTTCACCAGCCAGGGATTGGTAAACCACTCTCCTTCCAAAGAAGATAGCTAACTCTGGCAGGACAGTAGTCAAACTACCAGCATTTCCAGGCATTCAGTGGCTTTTGTCAAAAGGGCTTCATGGTTTCAGCCCACCTTCTGCAACACAGATCTACCACAACTGACCACAAAAAAAGAAATGACCTAACAGGCCAAGCATCAAACAGTGAAGGAAAATGAACCTCTAAAAGCCTCTAAAGACATTTTTCTGAGGTTTATCAACATGGACTAGAGTGCCTTGCTCCAAGGCTGTTGATATACAGTTCCTTTTATGAAAGGCTTCAGCTTCAAATGCTATCAAGCTCATACTTTTTTTTTGCAGCATCAAATGCCCCTCAAAACTCAGTCCAGTGAAATCAGCTAGAGAAGCACACAGAGAAATCCCACATTCACTTTCTCATTTTATTATATGCATAATTTTCCTGTGCAAGAGAGGTACAGTTCCTGTGGCCAACACCACACAATGGATACCAGTGGTCAATCCCATCTTCGCCTGTCTTTTCTCCCTGGACTTCTTTTTTTTAACAATAACTTCATGGAAATGAGAAAACAGTCCCTTCCACCTATCAAAAGATTGAGTTATATTTTATTTTTGGCCAACTGCTACGTCATACTGCCCAACAGCTTGGTTAGCATGAGATCACACATGGAAAAATAAGCACTTAAGTATATTAGGGCTCCTAGTGTGGATATTTTTACAGCATGGAGGCTTTCCTCTGCCTTGCTGGTAGCCACACACTCTGTGGTTGACTCAGCAGCCTTTCCCACAGATGTCTTTGCCACTCCTTCTCCAACTAGAAGAGGGTTCAGGAACAACTCTGACCTTCACCTCCAACAGCAGCGAGTGGCCGGGGCTGGCCAGCTGCTCCATGTTTTGGAAACCTTAAGGTTGAAAGATGTGGGCTTTTCTAGGCAGGGTATGTAAACTGAAGTGCTGCTTAAAGGAGACCACAAACAGCAGCTGCTCCTGAGACCACTCTTCCCCTCTCCACATTTAAGAGAGGAATGAACTGCTAGATCATTCCCACCCCTGAATATGACTTACACATTGATCCTCTCCAATGCTTGAAATGGGCTATATCTGAAAAGGGGTTTTCCCAGCACCTGTTCTGACCTTCCTCCTCAACCCAATTGCTTTTTAATCTCCTGTCCCACCTCCCCTCTTCTAACTCTCATACTCTCTGCAGCACTCACTCATTTCAGACAATGTCCCGCTGGAGCCTCCAGACCAGAGTAACTTCAGCATTATGTCCCCACAAACCACACGTCTGGCTGCAGTGCCATTGGGAACTTCCTAAGAGCAAACACTCATGAACACTTAACCACATGGGATCACTCAGGTCTACAAAAGACACAAAGAGGAGTCTCAGAGCTTATATTTCCATTGTCTTGCACTTTGGGAAGACTGTTGGACATCAGAGAGGTGTAAAGCCTCAAAGAACCACATGGCATCATCTGGCCCTTTCCCTTGAACTCTGGACAGGATCAAGTACATCCTTATTACTCCCGAGATATGTTTGCCAGATGGGATCTTATAGATTTCCAGTGTCAGGAAGTTTGCCATATTTCCAGAATACTGAATAGGTTTAACTTCAAGCATATTTTTTTCCCTTCATAATATCCAACTCGAATGCCAAAACAATCTCCTTCTTACTAAAACAACCTCTTCAGTCTTTCCTTGCAAGCCACACTTTATAGACTTTGTCTGCTCTCTTTGCTCTTCATAGATCCAACTCAGATCAAGATCTCACCGATCCTGACTACAGTGGAAGGGTAACCTTGATGTGTTTCACAGACTATGCCTCTACTCATGTACCTCAGAATGTAATTTTGGCTTCTTCATGAAAATCAAGCTGTTAACTCACATTCAGCTTCTGATCCACTATAACCCTTAGATTCATGCTGCTGAACTTTTTTTTTCCTAGGCTTTCTTTACATCACTGATTTCTCATTTCCAAATACAATTCTTCTTTCTAACAAATCACTTTTTTTCCCTTAGACTGAATCTCCATCATTGTTCCATTATTTAAAATACAGACTTGCCATCCAGTGGGTCTCCCCCATCTTAGTGTCCTCCACAGATGTGACAAACAAATTGCCTGACCAAGGTATAATTCTACCAAATGAGAACACTCCACTTTATCTCAGTATGTCCCATTCACTTTGAAAATACTTCCATTGCTTTGTAAAATGCAGAAAAATGGGCAACTCTCTGCAATAAGTTGTGTACAGGACTGGGTTTCAATCAGCTCTGCTTATTCAACTGACTTCTGCATTGTTCAACCAGATAAAGCCAACACTGAAGGTTCACCCCACAGGTATTGCAGGTCACAGTAGTAATGCCAGCAGGTAACACATCCTTCAGTTTAAGCCTGTTTTCAATTAATGTTTGTCACCCAAACCCCACCAGGCTGCACAAAAATGCATATAATTTCATTGTTGTTTTGGCATGAAGGTTCTTTTAAAATATCCAGTCACCTATTTCAAAAGACAAAATGGGAGGAGGGGGAAGAAAAAAGAATTACTGAAATAAAAAAGAATAAAAAATATTTTAGAGTCTTTTACCACTCCTTTATTATTATTATTATTCAGAATAGAAATATTATATGTCCTTCCTCTTTTGAGAAAATCATCTCAAATTTGGCCAAAATTTCCTGCCTACACACGCTCAACAGTGATTCAGAGCTTAGCAACAAAGTTGTCTGGACTTTTTGCATGCAGGGTACAAACTTTCCCCTCCTTTCCCCTTTGGTAAATCAAATACCATGTATCACCTGAGAGCACTCTGCTCTTCCATATGATCATATGGCTGAGAAGAAATGTCCTTGCTGCTCCTGTAAAAGAGCTGTATGATATCTGATCTTGGAACAGAGGTTGGGAGATCTCTCAGGCTGGCCCCAGGTGGAAGGGAAATAATTTATAATTAGACGGGGAAGGGTGAAGGATTTGCTGCAGTTGTGAGGGGAACACATGTACATCCAAGGACTAGGAGAGAGAATAGATAAAAGGAAAAAAGCATGCAGAGAAAAGGGAGTAGAAAGTAGCCACGGCCACCACACCTCTGTGAACCATGCCCATTATTTCCCACTCAGCATCCCTCTGCTTCTAGAAGCAGCTGGGAAACTGCTGGCATGTTCCTGCACCGATGGCTCACAGAGGGCTCCAACCTGCTGCTGCTGTCATTAGTGGCAACACAGCTGCCAACAAACACGGTGACAGATGTCAGTGACGTGAATATCACACTTCCAGTCTTGCCCCAATGTCCACAGGGAAATGCAGCCACACAACTGGAATTTTACTCCCCCCCAGTTCTGCTTTCTGAAGACCATGGAATACACATTTATTCCATTCCTCTCCCACCAGGCCTGAAAAAGAAAGATGGGAGAGCTAAGTCTACTGCACAGCCTTATTACCCTTCCTGATGCTGGACTGTTGGCTAGTTTTGGCAGAGACCATTTTTGCCGTCAATGTTTGCTTAGCAGGTCCACACCCTATGGTCCTAACTGCTGCAAAAGTTGGAGAGCACTCAGCAGATGGGCTGGGGATTCCTGCAAGCCGAAGGGCAGTGCTGGAGAAAGGAAAAATAACATCTGAAAGTAGCAACTAAACTTAGTGGAGACACTTGACCCTCACCGGTATATGCATGATGTTCTCATCTGCATGATGAGGACAACGTCACTAGCTTCACCTTATATCCATGCAACCAAAAAGAAATAGCTTAGGAAGCAGCAAGATGCCATGCCAAAGAGTGCCACACACAGGTAGATGCAAGCCCATAGTCAGAGCAAAATCTGGAGTGGACAGGAGGGTGAGAAACAGATCACACACTGGGGAAGCCACATGAAACAAAGTATTGAGTTTCCAGTCATTAAGTGATGACGTTGATCCTGTGCGGTGAGGTGGGGAGTGGCCTTCCAAAAGAAACCATGCAACTGTGTCCAGGGTCACATTAATGGAAAGATGCCTGAAAACTTCAGCAGTGAAGAATAACAGAAGCAAGAAGGGACCTGAGGGAAACAGAGAGCATGAAGAATGGTAACATCCAGAAAAAGAAAGGTGGGAAGAAATGCATGAGCCAGCATCACTGAGCAGAGAGGGAGGACTTGCTCTCAGCTCAGGCCAAAGAAAGTAGATTCAGTCCAGAGATTTCAGGTCCAAACCACCCTGCATCTCAAGAACATCATGGGACCTCTGATATGTCCAAACCACCCTGCATCTCAAGAACATCATTCCCATGATGCTGCACAGCAGGACTTTCAAATTCAGCATACAGAAAAGAAATTTCATCATGAAAACACAATTTTTTTATATCCTTTCCATCTGCATCTGCCTCTGGGTTTGCATACAGCTACTGTCACCCTCATTGTCACTATGATGCCTGACAGTCTCATCATTATTTTCTCATCTAGATGAGTTCAGTTAATGATTTCCGCAATAAGGCTGCTGCTTGCACAATATGTATTAACTCTAGATTATTACAGGGAAGCAAGTGAATGGGAAAAACTGAGGCAGTGGCTTGAAACAACCTTCCTGACACAAGAGACAACATTAAATGGGAAGGTGCAAGTTAGAGATCCCCAAATTGAAACAGAAGCTCTTCATTCTGGATCAGGGCCCTAAAGAATGGTCTCAGGTCCCAATAAATAAATGGGAGTGTTTCCATGGCCTTCAGAAGACTCTGGAGGAGAAGCAAAGG